TATCCAGAAAAGGGAGGGATTAGACGGGGGAGAAATGCAGAGCAGACTCAGTCGGTCTTGGAGTGCATGTGCGTAAATGCACAGAGTTGACAAATAAGCTTGGTGATCTGCAGCTCAAGTTACCACATGGGGTTATGATGTAGTGGCAATAACGGAGACCTGGCTCAAACAAGGGCAGGAATGGGAGCTGAATATTCCTGGCTACAATGTACTCAGGAGGGATCGGGAAGGGTAAAAAGGAGGTGGTGGGTGTGCAATATTGATTAAAGACACGGTTACGGCTCTGGAAAGGGACGATGTGCGAGAGAGTACAGAAACAGAATCTATTTGGTTAGAGTTAAGGAGCAGAAACTGAGCTGTTACTCTGTTAGGTGTAAACTATAGACCACCAAATAGTGGGAAGGAGACAAGACGAGCAAATCTGCAGCAGATTTCAGAAAGATGTAAAACCAACAGAGTATGGGGACTTCAGTTATCCTAACATAGACTGGCAAAATAACAGTGTAAAGGGCAAGGAGGGGGGAGGATTCCTGAAATGTGTGCAGGATAACCTTCTGGATCAGTATGTTTCCAACCCAACGAGGAAGGAAGCAGTGCTGGATCTCATTTTGGGGAATGAAGTGAGGCAAGTGGAGCAGGTTTCAGTAGGAGAACATGTGGACAACAGTGATCACAACCTCATTAGCTTTAGAGTACATATGGAAAGGGATAAGGAACAATCAAAGGTGACGATACTCAACTGGAAGAGGCTAATTTCAGTGAGTTAAAAAGGGTCCTAGCCAAGGTGGACTGGAAAGAAAGATTGGCAAGTAAAACAACTAATGAGCAACGGGAAGCCTTCAAGGCGGAGATAGTTCGGGGACAGAACAGATACATTCTCACAAATGGGAAAGGTAGGACATCCAAACCTCCCTGAGTGAATAATAATAATAAAAATAATAATCATTGCATTTGATATAGCGCTTTTCACGTCGGGAGGACGTCCCAAAGCGCTTCACAGAACACACTGTAAAGTGAATTGACTGTATATTTGTGGGCGAACGCAGCAGCCAATTGCGCACAGCAATGTCCCACAAACACTCGTAAATTGAAAATGACCAATTTATTATTGTTTTTGGTTTTGGAGGTCTGTGTGGAGTAAGGAAACTTGCCCAAGGTTTGGCCCTGGCCTGCCGGGGATTGAACTCAGGTCTCTCGCTTGCAAAGCGAGCGCTCTAACCACTGAGCTACAGGAAATTGGGATTAAAATAAAAGAGAAAAAGGAGGTTTATGATAAATGTCAGGTCCAAATTACAGAAGATAATCAAATAGAATATAGAAAGTACAGGGGAAAACTGAAAAAAGAAATAAGAGGGGCAAAGAGATTGTATGAGAAGATGAGTGGGTAACATAAAAGGGAAACCTAAGATAGTTTACAAGCATATAGAGAACAAAATGTTAGTCAAAGGTAGGGTGGGTCCAATTTGGATCCAAAGAGGAAATCTTCTTGTGGAGGCAGAGGGCATGGCTGACATACTGAATGAGGACTTTGCATCTGTCTTCACAACAGAAGAGGATGCAGCCAATGCCACAGTATCGGAGGAGAGAGGAGAGAAATTGGATAATAATAGAGAGAATGTACCAAAAACGTTGTCAGTGCTCAAGGTAGATAAGACACCTAGCCTGGACGGAATCATCCTAAATTACTGAGGGAAGTAAGGGTGGAAATAGCGGAGGCTCTGGCCACAATCTTTCAATCCTCCTTGGACACGGGTGGTGCCAAAGCACTTGAGCGTTGCAAATGTTACTCCCCTGTATAGAAAGGGGCAGAAGGATAAACCCGGGAACTACAGGCCAATCAGTGGGGAAACTTCCAGAAAATATAATCCGGGACAAAATAAATTTTCACTTAGAAAAATATGGGTTAATAAAGGACAGTCAACACGGGTTTGTTAAAAGGCAAATCATGTATAACAAACCTGATAGTTTTTTGATGCAGTAACGGAGAGGGTGGATGAAGGTAATGCAGTTGGTAGTTTATATGAATTTTCAAAGGCTTTTGATAAAATGCCACATAAGAGACTTGTAAGCAAAATAGAAGCCAACGGTATTAAAGGGAGAGTGGCAGCGGATACAGAACTGTCTGGGAGACAGGAAGCAGAGAGTGGTGGTGAACGGTTGTGTTCCTGACTGGAGGGAAGTGTACAGTGGTGTCCCCCGCGGTCAGTATTAGGACCACTGCTGTTTGTGATCTGTATAAATGACCTGGACTTGGATATAGGGAGTACAATCTCCAAGTTTGCAGATGATACTAAGCTGGAAAAGTAGTAAACAGTGAGGAGGATAGTAACAGACGGCAAATGGACACAGACAGACTGGTAACATGGGCAGACACGGGGCAGATGAAGTTTAATGTGGAGAAATGCATGAGAAGTGATGCATTTTTGGAGGAAGAATGAGGAGAGGCGATATAAGCTGATGGTACAATCTTAAAGGAACAGAGAGACCTGGGGGTCATATATAGTAAATCTTTGATGGTGGCCGGACAGGCTGATAGAGCTGTTAATAAAGCATCCGGGATACTGGGCTTTATAAATAGGGGCATAGAATACACAAGTCAGGAAGTTATGATGAACCTTTATAAACACCGGTTAGGCCTCAGCTCGAGACTGTGCTCACTTCTGGGCCCCACACTTTAGGAAGGATGTGAAGGAGATTGACCAGGATGGTACCAGGAATGAGGGGCTTCAATTATTAGGAGAGGCGAGAGAACCTGGGGTTATTCTCCTTAAAGCAGAGAAGGTTAAAAGGAGACTTAATAGAAGTTTTCAAAAAGAGGTGAGGAGAAATGTTTTCACACAGCGAGTTGTTGGGATCTGGAAAGCGTTGCCTGAAAGGCCGGTGGAAGCCGATTCGATAACAGCATTTAAGAGAGAAGTAGAGAAGCAGAGACTCCTTTAGCCCCAGCCTATGGTCAGAATGGTTGGTGCTACCACTGATGCAGAAAACTGACCTCAAAGTTTTGAGGGCATACACTTACCTTCCAAAAATAAAAGCTTTTAACTTAAATGTTATGAAAAGGGAACCTGTTTATAACACAGTTTTCTGAGTCCAATAGCTCAGAGGCTGTGTTATAACCAGCGCGAAGAAAAAAGGCTAACATCAGGTCACCAGGTCTCACTGTCATCACGTTCTTCACAAAGTGAAGGCAGCAGTACTTCCTGTGCAGGTGCAGCACCAGGAAGTGACGTAAGTGGTATCTTGACCATCTGGAAGTCAGCCATTGTTTAGCCGGCCGCCCGGCACAAGAGGTCAGGTGTCTCATGCAGTGGTCACAGGACAACAAAGCCATAAACAACACAGACTACACCAAGATTCGCTGTGTTATACATTGTGTAAAATGTGGATAGAGCAATAAATAATTGTTATTTCTTTCTTAACAGTTATGCTTAGAAAAGTTTCTTAACTGTAGGTAAATTATATACTGGGTGTCTGGAAAAAAATTAGCACTCATCCAGCAACAATACAATCCCCTGATCTCAAATGGGCCATTGGGAAGTGATGCTGAGCAGTTTGCTGTATAGAGGGGAGGAAGTATCAGAGAAGGACCCTGGTACTAACTTCTCTGAGGAGCATTAATGAGGACTTGGATGGCTACCCCTTACCCTTAGCTCAGGTGCACAGTATGACAAAGAAAAACAGAATAAAGACAATTTTAAAAATCTTTAAAACAAAATGACTCAGAATTGAAATACAGTGGAAGCCCGTTAACCCGGACACATCGGGGACGGCTGCTTTGTCCGGATTAAGAGGCGTCCGAGAGTAACTAAGATACCATTCCCACCCAGCAGAGAGTGACATTGGCCTCGGATAATAATATGTAATATTGTTGTTTTGAAGCGATGTTAACTAACCGAGTATTGTACCCGAGTTACAGCTCAAATCCTGAGCTCATAGAATTCAGTAAAATATCTTCCCACCCAGCGGTCAGCAGAGGGAACCAATCAGTGGTGGCAATGAGGTGATTGACAGCCTGTAGCCTCTGTCAGAGGCTCCACCCACTGACAAGCAGCTCAGCTGTCAATCAATTGCAATGATTCCTCCCATTCCTCCCTGCATTCCTTCCCCCCCTCACTGATCGACAGCCCAACTCCAGCCGCTTGTGACTGTCTGGAGGCCTCTGTCAATCAATCTTAGACTCCTCCATCTCAGTCCTGGAGCAGCTCATGGCTGAATGAAGGCTGGACACACAGAAGCCCGAGTGAGTACATTCAGTGGCGATCAGCGCTGCATTTTGCCCGGAATAACCGCCATATTTAAAACAAGTAAGAGTATAATGAATCAGGGCCGGGCACTATGTTTGATTTACCTGACGTCCGGGACTAACCGGCATCTGACAAAAGCATATTCCACTATATTTGCTACAAATGTGCAGATGAGAATTCTGACACTGTTGGCTCATTCTAGTAAAGGAAACTACAGCTTAACCCTAAACATTAGCACAAGGCTGCACTTGTGCATCATCAAACTTGTGAGCTCTCTTATTGAACACTACACTCAAATTAAATTAAAACATGGACCAAAACAGCTTGTCTTGGCTTCTTCACCAGGTATTTTGATTTAATTATGGGCAGGAATTTTAAAAACTGGGAACACCCTAAAACATTTACTATACAGATGCTCATAATTATATAACATCTGTGTATAATATGGCTGCCCGAGTCTTCAATAAAATGGCAATTCTGGCACTGACAAAAGGACAATAAAAAACAAAACCGAATGCCCTCACTCTTTCATTCACTGACTCCCTCCCTCACATCAACAATCAGGATCATGCTTTTTAAAAAATAACATTGTACTTTATTAAATAACCAAGAAAGCAATAAGATGGTACAACATAGTACCAAATGTTACTAACAATCATAGAAACTGGTAAAATAGGAAATATATGATCTAGACCAGCTGATGCTCAACTAACTTGTGATTGCATGAACTGTTCTCATTGTGTTAGAATCACTTACCTCTTTCACACTGTGCTCCTGTGAAGCCATATGTACATGCACATCGATTGGGAGCCACACACCTTCCATTGTTCAAACATCCATTCTCACAAACAGCTGAAAAATAATGTTTCTTATGAAAAATCAAGACATTCAATTCCTCAAGAAAAAAAATTATTTGGACACTCAATCCACGACTGTTTGTGGGACGCTGCTGTGCACAATTGGCTGCCGCGTTTCACTTTACAGTATATTCTGTGAAGCGCTTTAAGACGTCCAGAAGACGTGAAAAGCGCTATATCAACAGCACCCAGAACTCAGCAGCTACAAACTCAGAGCACATTTTATCAAGGAAACAGAATTGGTCCCTTTGTGGCTTTACATTACAAATGCAGAAAGTGATAAATAATCTCAACGGGATTCAATGAACAATCTCAATGATTCATAAATTGTAGTCTGATTCTGAACACCAGTAACATTTGACGCAGAATATTAACTGACTTTGTTTGAGATTCTTAAAATTAAATAAGGAACACTCTAGCCAATGACAGTAACTATCAGATGTCTCAGCCTAGCTCAGTTGGTAGCACTCTCGCCTCTGATTCAGATGGCTGAGGTTCAAGCCTCACATGTAGTTTGGAACTCATATAGTCTAAGCTGACACTCCAGTGGAATGCTGAGGGTGTGCTGTGCTGTTGGAGGTGCCGTCCTTCAGATGTGACGTTAAACTGAAGCCCAATCTGTGCTAGTTCAGGTGGAGGTTAATGATCCCATGGCACTATTCTGAATGAGAAAGGAGTTTCTCCCAGAGTTTTTGCCAACAAGCCATAGATAAAATTAATCATTCACTTCATGGCTCTTTGAGGGACATTGCTGTACGCAAATTGGCTGCCACATTCACCCACAAAATGCACATGATCACATCAGTTCACGTATATTCTGTGAAGAGCTTTGAGACATTGACAGTGTGATATAAAATGTAAGAGTTATTACTAAGGTAAACCCAAACAATGATGAAAAATTAGTTGAAGCTTTAGGAATATTGTAAAAATATACATTTTAACACGAGGACTTAAATGCCATATGTCTGCCTTACACAAATCATTTAAAACAGTAAGTTACTGCACACTGTGTGCTGGCCTGGACATCCCACTTGTGGTGACCAGCAGTGAGATTAGCTTTCCAGGAAGCCGTCAGAGCCATACCCCAAACGCAGCCGAAACCCTGGTGCATGCGTTTGTCATCTCCCGCCTGGATTACTCCAACTCATTCCTCGCCGGTCTCCCCAGCTCCACAATTCACAAGATCAGCTCATTCAGACTCTGCCGTCCACATACTGACCCGAACCAAACCCCCTACCCACATCTCACCAGTTCTGGCCCAGGCTTCAATGGCTCCCCATCACCCAACGGATCGACTTCAGGATCCTCTCACTCTCGTGTTCAAATCCCTTCACTCCCTGGCACCTCCCTACCTCTCCGACCCTCTCACTCCCCAATCCACCACTCAAGGCTTCTGATCGACTGGAACCAGCGTCCTGCTTGTCCCTCACACCCTCCACCCCACCATTGGAGGTTATGCTTTCAGCCACTACGCCCCAAAACTATGGAACACTCTCCCTCAATCCCTCACCTTGCCCACTCACTTCCCTTTGTCAAATCCCGCCTGAAAATGTTCCTTTTCGACCGTGCTCACAGTCATCTACCCTCCCCAAAGCCACTCCCCTGACTTGGAGTCAGGTTCCACCAATGTTAAGTGCTCTGAGACACTACCCTGCGTGGAGGGCACAATATAAGTGCAAGTTGTTGTTGTAGTGGCTCCTCTTCAATGACCGGGAAGTGACAGCAATAGTAACTAACCAAGGTGGCAACAATTTTGTTCAAACTGAGGAGAAAGCTCAGTGGTGGGAAGGAACTGTGTGGATCAGGAAAAACATTATTATTATTATTATTATGATGAATAATAACTACTGCTATGTCCACACAGATACAAACGTGAATAAATACAACAACAACAACTTGGATATATATAGCGCCCTCCACGCCGGACGGCGTTTCAGAGCGCTTCACAATAACGGATCCCGCGGCTGAGCCAGCCAAGCCAAAACAGCTGTTATACAGCAGTCACTTCAGAAACACACATAAACAGCTGCTAGCTGACACAGTCAACAAGCTGCTCTCCTCAGGTTCTGTTCCTCTCCCCCTTAGAACCGCTGTCATCACTCCCCTGCTCAAAAAAAAACACCTCTGACCCTTCCAACCTCACAAATTACTGACCTATTTCCAACCTGCTCTTCCTTTCCAAAGCTCTGGAACGCGTTGTCACTAACTAGCTTTGCTCTCACCTCTCTCTTCACTCCCTCAGTCTGGTTTCCGACCTGACCAAAGCACAGACAGCGCGTATCAAGGTCACAAATTACGTCGTCTCCTTCTGTGACCAGGGCTCCCTCTGCCTCCTCATCCCCCTGGACCTCTCCCCCGCGTTCGACATAGTCAACCACCGCCTCTCCTCCCTCATCCACCTCCGTGGGATCGCACTTGGCTGGTTCAAGTCCTACCTAACAAATCACCTTCACTTTATCTCCCAAAATTGTTTCTCCCCCAGCCCCCGCCCGGTGACCTGTGGTCTACCCCAGCACTCCATCCTTGGCCCCCTCCTCTTCCTCATCTATATGCTCCCTCTTGGTAATGTCATCCGCAGACATGGGGTAAACTTTCACATGTATGCACATGACACACAAATCTACTTCTCCTCCAGCTCCGATGTTGTCTCTGCTTATCTGGCAGACATCAGGGCCTGGATGAGCGAAACCTTCCTACAACTCAATGTTGACAAGACAGAAGCCATACTCATGGCTGCCGTCAACATCTTCTATCCTGCGGCTTTGATCGTGCTGCTCATAGCACAGAAACTGCCCTGGTCAAGGTCACCAATGATATCCTGACTATCTGTGACCAGGGCTCCCTCTGTCTCCTCGTCCTCCTCGACCTATCGGCAGCATTCGATACGGTCGACCACGCTATCCTACTCCACCGCTTGTCCTCCCACCTCAACCTTCAAGGCACTGTCCTTGAATGGTTTAGGTCTTACCTTTCCCACCGTCTTCACTTCGTCTCAACGAATGGCTTCTCCTCCACCCCCCGTACTGTCTCATGTGGTGTCCCTCAGGGCTCTGTCCTCGGTCCCCTCCTCTTCACCCTCTATATGCTCCCCCTCGGTGACATCATCCGCAAACATGGGGTTAACTTCCACATGTATGCGGATGACACCCAACTCTACCTTTCCTCCTCTACTCTCAACTCCACGACCACCGATGTCCTGACAGCTGTCTGTCCGACATCGAGTCCTGGACGAGAGACAACTTTCTTCAGCTCAACGTGCGAAAAACCGAGGCCCTCCTGATTGGCTCACGTCAGCGCCTCCGCACCTCAGGCGCTGACACCATCAGCATCCAAGGCTGCACTCTCCACCTCTCAAAGCCATCAGGAACCTCGGCGTTTTGTTCGACCCTGAGCTGTCCTTTCTCCCTCACATCCGCACCACAACTGGCACCGCCTTCCATCACCTCCGGAATATCGCCAGATTACGGCACTACCTCACCCCTCACGCTGCTGAAACCCTGGTTCACGCCTTTGTCACCTCAAGGCTGGACTATGGGAACTCTCTCCTCGCCGGCCTTCCCGGCACCTCCCTCCACAAGCTGCAGGTCATTCAGAACTCTGCAGCTCGTGTACTGTCCCGCACCAGGCTTCGGGACCACATCACTCCCACCCTCGCTCGCCTCCACTGGCTCCCCATCCCCCAGAGGATTGATTTCAAGATCCTCATCCTCACCTACAAGGCCATTCACGGCCTTGCTCCCTCCTACCTCTCCAACCTACTATCCCCTACCTACCTGCCCGTACCCTCCGTTCCTCTGGCTCCGGTCTGCTCCACGTCCCCCGCCCCAACCGCCCTACTATCGGTGGTCGGGCCTTCAGCCTCTCAGCCCCGAGGCTCTGGAACTCCATCCCCCAGTGCCTTCGCCTTGCTTCCTCCCTTTCCTCCTTCAAGGCCGGTCTCAAAACCTTTCTCTTTGACCGTGCCTTCAGCTCCCCTCTCGACTCTCTTCCTCCTCCTCGCTCCCTCCCTTCCCTCCCCTCACCCTGACCATTTCCCCCCTCCTCTCTCCCTCCCTTCCCTCCCCTCACCCTGACCATTTCCCCCTCCTCGCTCCCTCCCTTCCCTCCCCTCACCCTGACCATTTCCCCCCAATGCTCGGGTCATGACCCAACTGTGCAGCGCCTTGGGACGTCCTCCTGACGTGAAAGGCGCTCTATAAATGGAATCTTGTTGTTGTTGTTGTTGATCTCCTCAACCTCCCCAGCCTATCCATTAGACGTACCGAATCAGTGCTCAAACTAGACATCAGGTTCGACCCACAGCTGTCCTTCTCCCCACATACAGCCCTGACCAGGACTGCCTTCCTCCACCTTCGCCACATTGTCTGCCTCACCCCAGACACAGCTGAAACACTTGTCCATGCGTTCGTCATCCCCCGACTCGAATTTTCAAATGCCCTCTTTGCCGGTCTCTCCAGCTCCACGACTGTGTTTGTGGCCTGAGGCAATCATCCCGCGGGCCATCCTGACTGACTTATTAAATGCAATACTTTATAAAGACTCCACCCCACCATCACACATACACACACACACACACATACACAGGGTAAAATTGTCTCCTGTCTGATCACAGCGGACATCTACCTGTGACCATTTTAAACTTCTTTAGAGATTTTTCATTCAGATCTTCCTCTTCACTTCACTGATGCCAGCGAGCAACTCCAAAGGTATTCAGACATTGGCACGTGGGCTTGGCATACTTGGTGTGCCAGCCCAGTACACAGCAGCTGCCAACTGGACTTTGCTAGGTGGACTGCCTCCCAACCCATTCAGGAGTAATCAGATGCTGATTTCCCTGTGGAGCTGCTCACTCAGGTTCCTGCAGAGTGGGAAAACCTGAAATTTATATTGAGACATTTAGCCTGCTCCCAGATCCTATCTCTACAAAGGGAATTTTTGAAAATGTTGCAAAAATGGGAAGTAAAAAATTAGTTTAGATAAGATCATACAGGTTTT